TCTGATGTCAAACAATAGTGTGTAAAACATCACAGCACAAAGGTAATATTTTTAAACAGTGTGTTTTGTTACTTTACTGTCAACACAATATTACCATTTATCGTCTGGTACATATACAAGAATAAAGAATTATTCAGTACTAACTTGCACAAACCAAGAAACATAAATTGCAGAAATTCTGACTTCTTTCAGTGGTTGTGTATTTATTTATTTTTTTAAAAAGCAGTAACTTATGTTGTAGTATTTTATTCTATTCTATTCTGTTCTATTCTTATAAAATTACTGGATAATATCAAAATGAAAACTTCACTATTTACCCAAAGGTTACATGTGAAACAATGTTCCAGCGCTTCAGAGTATTATTTATCCATTTTGTTACAACACATGGTTTCTGTGATTTCAGCAGTATCTAACACAGTAATAGGAAAATAGGAAACACTGAGCTGGCCCTGCACTTCCAGTAGATTTATTATTATCCAGGGTCATAAATATTGCTGTGGTGCAAAGCACGTGTGTCTAGGTCCACCATGGCATAAAAACAACAGTACTTGTTGTTGTATTATGATGAGCGAATGTTTTAAATTTAAGCTAACTCAGTTTGTGTTTAGTCAATTAATTTGTATTTTTTATCCAAAGAAAGAACTTGCAAATATCTCTAAATGTTGCATAAGACTGTAAATGTCTTCTTTTGTGCTTAAATGCAAATTAAAGTGTAACACCATGCTTATGCTCTGTTTGACTCTTTGTAAAATTACAAAATGATTTGATTGAAAATAAATTACATATGAAGATGGTTAAGTTCAATCAACTTTACACTGTTTGTTCAAATGCAGGCTACCTGTACTATACAGTTGATTATAAAGTATTTTCATGATTAGGTGAGGTCAGTTCCATGATTTTTCCATGACAGTTTAAGCAGACAAAAGATCTGGAGTTTATATTATTTCACTGGAATGTAGTCATGAGGTCTAAAGAGATGTTAATGCCAGTGAAAGAGGGTGTGATTAGACTCAAAAATCAAAATAAACCCATCTGAGACAGGAAAAACTTGACTAGAAACGGCCGAATCAACAATCTGATTTATTCATAAGAAGAATGACTGAAAGGTCTGAAAGACCAAAGAAGAAAACTAAAGTGGATGATAACAGTAAATATACCCTGTAAATATACAGGGTTTAAAACAAGGTGCAAACATGAGGTTAAACTGAAGAACAAGAACGTCAGATTAGATTTGCCAGAAAACATCTAAAAGACCTCGCACAGGTTT